GGCTATGATATGAGAGTGCAGATGTGGAGGATGTGAATACACATGCATGGAGTGCACCAGAGCCAAACAACAAAGAACACAGACTAGAAAAGAAAAGAAAAGAATAGAGTTCCACATACTGTGGGATAATAAATATGGAGGTAACTGTCTTCTTGCTGATGTTTCAGAAACAGAGGAGAATCAAAGGGGAACTGAATATGCATTCAAAGAAACAATGGCTGAAATGTCCCCACATTTGTGAAGGATATATAGAGCCACAGATTCAAGAAACTGACCAAAACTCAAATAAGAAAAACCCAAGGATTTCCACACTGGGAAAGGTCCTAAATAAAAGTTTGAAAAATATGCACAGAATGATCTTAAAAACAGCCAGAGAAAAGGACTTATTACTTAAAAGGAAAAAGTCACGTGAAAGAAAATAAATTTCTCCTCTGAAACCATAAAATCAGAAAAAAGGCATATTTAAAATTTTTCATTTAAAAAAATTGTGCTTTTTGTAAGGTGTCAAATATGATGTTTACACATATATGTACATGTGATGTGATTACTATAGTGAGGTAGTGTAACATATCCATCACCTCAGTGTTACCTTTGTTTTTGATGGCAGGATCACCTCAAATCTACTGGCTGAGCCGATTTCCAGGATACCCTGAAACATTATTAACTATAGTCCTCCCATAGTACTTGGTTACTAAACTTATTTATCCTACATAATTGTAACTTTGTACTCTTCATCCTACATTACCCATTCTTGCCCAACAAGTACTGTGGTAACCACAAGTTTGCTATGTATTTCTACTTATGCAGCTACTTTTTAAAATTCAGACATGTTGCTATGTCACATTCCCACTACCCCAATCTCCTGTGAGTAAAACTATGACGTATGTCTTAGGTCCAGCTACTAGGGTTGAGGGGGAAGCTACTCTGGTATCTCAGCCTAGAGAGTAGCAGCAGCTACCAGCAAGTGCTATCGTGGCTGGGCCTGTATTCAACTTTTACAATGACTCCTCATATAAGTGAGATCATGCCCTATCTTTCTCTAAGTTTCTGGCTTACTTCACTTAGCTAATGTGAGAGGCTGGCAGCACAACCACAATTTTAATGGACCCTCGCAGATAGCTTTACTGCCAAAAAAAGTCACGTTAGCAATTTGATCATTGATATACCTCTCATTTTATCTCAAAATGCATATTCAGTTACAACTGTCACTACAACTCATATTTCTAGATAAATCGTAGCTTAAAATGGACACGATTTTAAAGATGAGTAAATACTGTAACCTCAATATGCAAAACATGACTACTCTTGAAAATATTTTTTTTCTTTTCTTTTTGGAGAGGTTTTCACTATAGGGCATGTGCGCTCACCAGAAAGACAGAGAAAGACAGAGAGACAGAAACC